CTTACCGCCGTATTGATGAATCATCGTTTCCTGTTTTTTGTTCTCATCGGCTTCTCAACTCTGCAGCGGTAGATTTACATGCAGGAGTTTGTCGGTCGGATCACAGCGACTGAGTTGTTCCAAAGCCCAGACGGTGTCTATTGACGGATGGACGGACGGACAACACAGCGGATGAGCTACTCTTGCAGATCGTACTGAAGGGTATTGCGATTTTAGAACGCAGAAGGAAACGAAGGATCGATTTTCTACATTTGAAGTGTGTTATTATGCATGCTGATAATTAATTGCCGGCCGATAGTCATCGATTCATTCACCTCTGCAAATGCTGCTGGACCAAAGGTCAGGTTGACGTTCTCCCATTAATTGAAAAATTCAGTAGTCAGAATAGGTTCTATGAATGATGGGCAAGAAACGATCTTTTTAATTTCTTGTTTATTCATTAATTTATTTTTCTGCCCTTAGATTTCTTGCGCTATCTTTGATTTGACCAACTGTTATTCTTATAGTTATACTGTAGCTTTGATTATTTGTTTTGGGTGGCCGCTTTTCTGTCTTTGTTTTATGCCTGTCCCGATGACGGACGTTATATTTGTTGCCGAGATAGTCAGCTGAAGAAGTCTTTCGATTTTCAGGCTTTTTCTAACCGTTGCAGAAAGAATCTTTTTTCGACTGACAATTTTAATTGTTTGTTTGTTTACTTGTCTTGGCTTGCTTATTTGTCCCATGCTTTTTTCTTCATGCATAGCACATTTGCTTGCTTGTCTACTTTTTTACTCAATGTTTTTAATATTCATTGCTGGTTGCGTCACTAAGAGCGGACAGCAACCAAATGGCGATATAATGTGGTATTGCTAAGTGTGAATGTTTGTTCGCGTCGTCGTCTTGAGCATGACGTCACTTGTTTGTGATATCCGCTGTATTGACAGCTTTACACTAATTTCGTTGTAAGGCACAGGTTGCTGCTTAGTAGCTGGGAATGTTTATGCTAAAGCAGATCTGCCTCTGCCTTCCTCCATGTTCCGTACTATCCTCCTGGTCGACATCAGCCGTGGTTCGACTCCTAGACGAGTGGCTCACTTACTAGAATAACTGGTATATGGCCAACAGTTCTATGTATGGTAATGGTGTATGGTCAGTTTTCCTAACAGTGCCAACCTCCATTTCTTATTTTGCGTAATTACTGGAACAGAATGCGGTCATTTCTTACCTCGTCCTGTCATTTAATCATCACTATGCGTCGGAACTGACAGGTTGTACACGGTGAAGCACCACTTTTCACGTATGCCACACACACTGGGATTACCGCGAAGGCCTGTCATGATCCTCTAGAAACAGTCGACTAGAAAGACTCTGGTCATTGGGTTGACTGTATTGCTTATGTTTTTAAAGATAGTTCTGCTTGACCACATCACAGCCACAATCGAACTAGTTCAAGTGTGCTTTACTCATGTGATCATCTGTATTTACTTTCGAAGAGGTCACCATCTGGTTTATTCACTGTCTTGTTTGAATAAGAATGATGATCATTAGCAGAACGAATAGAAGATCCGGACAGTGGTCTAGGATATTAGTAATTGGTAAAGAAAAGAATTTCAATCTTCATAGTCTGTGAATGGTCAAGATGGAAAATCCTGCGTTTTAACGCTGACAAGGAAGCAGGGTAAAATTTGATGTCCTCATCCTATCTGGGTGATGAAATCTGCCATTGTCGTCGCCACTGTTTGATTTTCTGTGTAACGCTTCGATCAGTGAGATGGAATGCAATGAACGTCAGGAATTTGTATATTTCATGTTTTTGAAAAAAAATCCTGGGAAGACAGGAGGAAGAGAATAAGCGGAAGGGAAACGGGGAAAAAGTTTGCAGTTGATTTTCTTGCGCAGCATGGAAGAAGTATGCTAGAAATGACAAGAAAACGTACAAAGATGACTCAATGGATGAGAGCACAAATAAGGATCTGCCGAAAGCAGAAGTGAACATCGCTGAACCACAGAAACATGAGACCGAATTTCAAGACGGAATAAGATTTCCAGATCGATGGCTGATTGAGTTGAAGAAGTTCGTGTGGATCAACAGGGAATAGAGAAAATACCAGAAACAGAAACACAAGTTTATAGTAAAGTCTTGAAGAAACCATCCAACCAGCAGTGGATCGATAAAGAACTGATGATGATGATTAATTTGTTGGAACAGATATTGACCATCGCGATTCTTCTCACGTGAACAAGCCATCTATACAAATATGGTCTACGCAATAAAATTATCTACTTCAGTTGCAGCGTTCAATGACGAAGATACCAGAAACTCAATGGTCGATCAGGCTGATATTGTTTTAGATAGGTACATTTAGATTGGTGTGCGCTTTTGAATGACTTGTTATGCAATCTTGACTCTAAACAATTATTATAAACTAAGCAAAGGGAATAAACTTGTGTAACCACTGAGTTTCTCGATTTTCTTTACACTTTTATGATGGGCCTGTTTCTGGTGCCGTTCTCATGAAATTAATGTTGGGACATTGAACTCAATTTCCATCTTATCAACCAGGACTGCCGTATTTTTTGAAGCAGATTTGACATCACCTGTATAGGTGTGTAGTCTCCTATTTTCTTATCAACCTCGGAAATTAGAGAAGAGTGACCCGTCCGAAGCTGGAACCCGTGACTGTTTGGATATAAATTTTCATATTCAGGTCGGGCATTTAGGGGTCAGGTGCCATGTGAAGAATGTCACGCGGATTGGCCGGTTTATGAAATTGGGCTAAGTCAATTCACGCCGAATGGTTTGCGCGTGCTTTGGTGATTGTAAACAACGTCGTAGCATCTTATGAAAAATTTTGCAGCGACATAAACTGCTCTCCATATTGTTTCGATTTCTACTTCACGCGTTTTCTTAGTTTTGATAGGCAAAATTTGTCGTAATGCTACTGATGATCGTCGGTAGCGTTTAACAGCCATCAGCTACGCTTTCAGAGTAGTTCATCCTAACAAACACAAGAGATGCAGTGCCATGAAGAGGTTTCATTAGCAAAACATCATTCCTTCAAGACCAGGTTTATTGGGGGGGGGCGTATTGCACCGCTCCCTCGATCCTAGTTGCATATATGGTGGAGTGGAGAGGGAGGTGGTTAATTTAAGTACGCCACGACTCCATGGTATTTGAGTACCTGCAATGGCATATTCATGCATCTCGCATCATTTTATATGGTTTTGGAAGAGTTTGCCGTTATTTCCGTCATGCTTTGGCATGCGAAAGTACTTTGATGTTGATAGAGCCTTACTGTGATAAACCTGTTAGTACAGCGCAGCGCTATCTACATATTTTTGTGGTGGTTCCTGAGCAGCATTGTTTAACTGTAACGACATGTGCTTTCTTCTGTTTAGAGAATTGTGCGGAGAGCTGTTGTGCACATTATGAGACGCTATGCACATTATGCACGCTTTCGGTTGAAACTATTTTCAGTCTTCTATAATCTTGCTTTATTCGTCACCTTGTATTCGGACAGCTACAAGGAGAGGAAAATTTTTAGTCGTTAGCATGTCGATCTTCTGTTCGTGAGGTTGACTGTGAGGTGCTGATCTCCATTTCCACGTTATCAGCCAGAAGTGCTTTATTTTAAAAGCATACTCGGCATCAGTCATATGGCAAGCATGCTGCATAGTCTTCTGCCACTTATAGTTAGCTGGAAGCTCAATCGGTCTGCACCACTGGCCTCCTCTATTCTTTTTTGGTGACATTCAGAAATGCGTACATTCGTTTTTCTTCTTCATATGACTGCTGAAAAGCAGAACGTATTCGTAGTGACTGCTAAGGCATTGATTGATTGATTAATTTAGACAGGCATTGTGTCTGTTTCCATTCATTCTCTAGAATCTTCTATCAGATGCGGTTTGGTCTTCATATCCTGAGTCTTTATCTTTAGTTCAGAATATAAATAGTATGATCAAACGATTTTGCCGCACTTTCTTCGGTACTTGATGCATTGGGTAACTGTCAATCTGTTCGCCTTTGATTCTAGTCACAGTCATTCGCCGAGACAGTACTGCTAATGCAATGCCGCACTTTATTGCCATCATCGCAGTAGCAGATTAATTTTTTTCGTGCTTGGTAACTTCTTTTCATGGCTATGGTAAGTACGTTGCGAAAGGAACGGAGATAAATAACCACTTAAACCACCTGTTTTCATAAAGTGAACGTTTGCCTTGCATGATTTTGGAAAGCGACAGTTAAGCAAGAATGACTTGAAAAAGTGCTAAACAATGATGCAGGGAAACGACAGGACCAAATGTTTTATCTAACTGTTTTTGATATGCTTTCTTATTTGTTTTTTACGTGTTCATTGTGTTCTAAGAAACTTCGAGTTTTAGCTCAAATGGATCCCGAGGCGGATAGTTACATAATTTTTCTGCGGCAATGACGGATGTCGTGAACATTTCGTTGAATCGTACCGAAAGTATATTTTTACAGTCGGCCACCGCTCAGGGCGTGGCCGGTTTATTCGCATGGCTGGCCATCGTCCTCACTAGCCATCAGGTATGCTACTAGACATATTAATATTGATAAGATGTGGCAGTGCGCAGATAATTGTTAGATGAAATTATGATTATAATGATCGTGTTCGTCATCATGGCAACTATCTGCTGTTTGTTTCTTCAGCCGATAAAATTTTATAGTATTTTTGGTCCGACAGCGTTTGCGGTGGGAAATGTGTCCATCAGCAATTTTTGGCACTGCACAGTTTCCGTATTTATCTGTATTAACACAGATGCTCATAAGTCTAAACTGTAATTTGCCAAAGAAACAGACGTCAATTCCTTGTCATCATTACAGTCCTGATCGTTATAATTATCCTTCTGTCACACGTCACTCGCCTTGGAAAACTCATTCGTTATTTTACATACTAGGGCATACGAACAGCTTATGATTTTTATGCGTATGACGAATATTAGCTAATGGAACGTCGTTTCATAATATACGGGAGGTGGCTCTAGCGAATAAAATAATGGAGATGTATCTGACAGTGCAGTTGCTCACATATCATGGAGCAGCGGTCTGCTCAAATGCTCCCAAGCAATTAGAAACAATGAGGTAGTGTTCTAGGTCGTGAAATGTGAACTCGAAGGAGCTGTGGTATCTATCGCAATCACTGACATCTAATTATGATCCATATTTTATCCAGTTTTTATCACTGCGAACATAAATGATGCTTGGATAACGACAATATTAATAAGGTAGCGATAATATTGTTAGGTTAGTAGCAGGACTCATAAAGACATGACAATAGATTATAATTATTTGATAACGATGAGATGAAATAGTATTGATGGTGCGCATCATGACGATTCACATCATTGCACTGATAATGAACTGGTGCTTGTTTCTTCAGCGCATCGCGTTTTAGATCTACCAGCATCTGCGGTGGTATACGTGTCCTTCGGAGCAGCGATGGATCGTTCGAATACTTTTCATTGTTCCAATTTATTCGTTTGATTCGTGGCTGAGCTTGTTGTTTTTCGCCAACGATGTGTACATTTATTTTAATACCATCAGAGACATGTACGAAGGTAAATAACGCTACTACATGTTTCTTTGGCGTTGGTAAATGATGTTCGATGGTGGCGTTTTTTCTTTCTTCAGCTTTTGTCATCTACAGCTTCCTCAGTTTGTGCTATGAATACCTCGGAGGCGAAAGTAATATTATGGCCGAGATCCGAGGACGACCGATTGCGTAAGTACCAGGATCTTGTTTCTTCTTGCTCACTCTAGCTTCTATTTCAGTTTATGTTCGTTTTTAAGACAGATTGAACAATACACTAGTTTTAGGCACAACTACTGGACATGCACATGCTGTCTGGCTGGAAAACAGTACACGATTGAGTTTCTACGATTCTGTAAACAAGTATGATGTGAATAATCGCGACAAACTTTTGGATTAATCACTTATTTTTAGGCTACGCTTCAATTCTGTTTCGTTAAACCCGTAATGACACTGCTTACTCTGGTCTTAATGCCACTTGGCCGATATCAGGACGGTAGCTGGAAGTAGGTTTTAGAATTTTAAAACATTTCTTGAAAATTTCTGCAGTGCCATGATCTTAAAACATTCCTGTAAGTGTATTTCTCACCTCAAACGACAGATGTCCTAATTGTCAGATCTTATTGCCGTATAAATATGCATTCTCATCTTCCCTTCCCTTCCACAGCAAACCTCATTGTCGGGTAAGCATTTATTCAGGACCTCATTTAGAGGCCTTTCACACTTCTGTTAATAACTGCAGTAGGAGAAAAGTTGATCTGAAGCAGCTTTTAATCTGGCTGAATGGCCAATGAAGAGAATGTTCGAAGGCTAACTTAAAAAGGGAAATTAAAGAAAACGTGACGCGGTGTTAACAACGAAGGACAATAAGCCCCACAGTGATCGACGATATGATCAAAGGTCTTAGAATGCGGAGAGACTTGTCAAATTCTTGTTATAAACAATACGCTGGTACGATCTAGTCTTTTTCGAAAGGAATTTGTCTTTCAAGATATGTACCAAGTTGCTCTGTATTGGTGGTTTTGGCGCGTAATGCAAATTTTCTTGTGATTCCTTCCGTCCTTCATTGCCTGTTAAAATCTGTAAAAACGGACACTGGTTTCGATCATACCGTAATAACAGTTGAGCAATCTTTATGAAGCAAACGGCAAAAGAGGTTTTATTATAAAGAACGCAATATGGTATTAGGTATAACACAATATAGGTATTCGGGTAATATTAGACCGTTGTGTTTCTACCCTTATTCTTCATGGACCTTTCTCAGTTCAGTACACCTGGCAGTTATCGGTCCTC